GGAGCGGCCATTGCATTCCAGTCTGGGTGACAGAGTGAGACTCCAACTCAAAAAACAAAAAAGAAATCTCAATTTCATTCAGATATTCAAGGATTTCAACTGATAAACAATTTCAATAAGAAACAGCATAAATTCATATGAATTAGATAAAAACAAAACTACAAAAACAACATGTCAGCTGGGCTTGGTGGCTCAGCCTATAATCCCGCGCTTTGGGAGGCTGAGGTGAGTGGATTGCCTGAGCCCGCGGGTTCGAGATCCACCTGGGTAACTGGGCGAGACTTCATCTCTACAATAAATCAAAAAATTAGCCAGGCATGGTAGTGCATGCCTGTAGTTCCAGCTACTTGGAAGGCTGAGGCAGAAGGATCGCTGGAGCCCAGCAGGCTGAGGCTATGGTGGCCAGAAGTGTGCCACTGCACTCCAGTCTGGGTGACAGAGTGAGACTCCAACTCAAAACAAAAAACAAAAAACATGTCATCATTTTACCTGAGCCACTTTGAGCTATGTCTCAACAAGTCTCTCTGCCTAGGTTTCCGAGGGGACGTGTCTTCACTCCTCTCTGCTGAGGGGCCTAGATCACTACAAGTGGGCCTACTGAAGTGGTCTTAAGTTGCACAGTCAACATGTGCTGGATTTTTGTAAAACCAACTGATAGTTTCTGCCCAGCCCTTCCATTGTGTCCAATGACAGACGTTTATGAAACGGCTGGTTTGGGCAAGGGTCAACTGATGCCCACAAAGATCAACCTCAATTTACTATTGTATCAGTACAGTATTATAGTCAAGTAAAACAACCAGAAGTAAAAACATAACTAGTACTGATGTAACACAGGTTGTAAAAACTGATTTCCATGACAGCAAATTTATGTATGTATGTACATATGTATGTATGCATGAGTTGGAGTCTCACTGTCTCCCAAGCTAGAGGCAGTGGCATGCTCACTCGACCTGCTGGGCTCAGACAATCCTTCTGCCTCAGCCTTCCAAGTAGCTGGAACTACAGGTGCGTACCACCAACCTGGATAATTTTTTTTTAGTATTAATTGTAGAGACAAGGTCTCACCAAGTTGCCCAGGCTAGTCTTGAACCCCTGGTCTCAGGCAATCCTCTCGCCTCTGCTTCCCAAAGTGCTGGGATTAGAAGCATGAGCCACCACGCCCAGCCACGACAAGAAATTTAAAAGAAAAGCTGACTGCGTACTACTTGTTTCTGCAGTAATTGTCAAAGACCTGCTATGAGCAGTTAATCAATGTCCAGGAAAGTTAACAACAGTCAGAGTCACTTCATCGCAAATAAGGTACCAGGGGACTGTCCCCACCTTGCATACTCAGCTGAATGGCCCTGCGGAGATCCGCTTCCTCGTCTTCCATGTCCATTTCTTGGCGACTCAGTGCCAAAGCCCTCCGCAAGTCCTCCTCATCTTGGTCTGCCATGCCCGAGCCTTCATTTGCTCCAAAGACACGTTCCAGGTCTGTCTTATGGACTCTAAAGAACAAAAGCACTGATGAGGACTGTGACCAGTCTTCTTTGTCAACATAATATAAAGGCATGTTAATCTAAAGACATCACGTAAGTCAAAACCTAAATATTTTCTGGCAAGTAAGGCATGGTAATGTAAAGATGGTGCTGTAATTTGAATCTAAGTAATATTCAAGTTATCCAAAGAGTTGATTCAACTTTGAACCCATCAACTTCACTAAACTATGACTAAAAATGAGCAGCTGACAATACAAGGTCCCCGTGTTCACTGTCAACATGAGTGTTCAAGTCCCACAAGGAAGTCCTACCATGCGCTCCCTGTTGTGGCTGGCGTTACTTCACATACTCGACCTGAGCACAAGCACTCAAGTCCTGCAAGAAAGCCCCACTATGTGCTCTCTGCCACAGCTGGCGCTATTCCACACACACGACATGAGCATGAATGTTCAAGTCCCACGAGGAAGCCCCACCATGTGCTCCCTGCCATGTCCGGCATTATTCCACACTCGACGTGAGCACGAGCATTCAAGTCCCATGAAGAAGACCCACCAAGTGCTCCCTGTTGTAGCCGGTATTATTCCACATACTCAATTTGAGCATGAGCATTCAATGCTCCCTGCTGTGGCCTGGTTACCTCTGCTCTTTCAGCTGTGCCAGCTCCTCTCCAATGAGCTTTGGCCTCTGCATCTGCTGGACCCTGACCATCTGCAGGAGCTGGTCGGCCTCACAGTCGGGTAGGTCGCCCTTAACAACAAATATGGAGTAGCCTAGAATGCAAGAAGGAATGGAAACTCTAAGAGGCTCAAACTTGACCATAAAATGCCAGTAGACAGAGAGGCAACACAGTTTAATGGGAAAAAAATACACACTGAGAGTTCAGAAAGCCCTAGATTCCCATAATGCCTCTACACTTATGAGCAAAGTGACCTAGGACAAGCTTAGTCCTTAGTCTCCAAGCTCCCTTTCTTCGCTTGAGAATGGGAATAGCCATCTCATGTGACTATGAGAAGTGCAATAGCATCTGTAAAGGGCCACACTGGTACAGTGCTTGCAGACCTCCACCCAATGCCACTGGAAAGGCAGAAGCAAGGGACTGGAACTGGATTCCTGGTCACCCAGCTGTATGTCTCTGCAAACTCCTCCCCATCTGCCTCGGCTTCCTTGGTTGCTTAATCGATGACACGGGTCCCTCTGCATAGGACGGTTATGAGGACACAATCAGACAGCATGTGCAGTCACAGGGAACATGGGGAGAAACAACTGGCCAATGTTGACATTCTGACACCACATCAAACTGGAAATGGGAGCTGGTAAGCAGCACCCCAAGCTGGCCACAGTGACAAGTGTGTCGTCAGCATCCCAAAGCCATCACATGGGTACTATGTATGATTCCATGGAGCCTGGGTTTCCCCACCTGAACGCTCCATATAAGCAGAACACAGGGCTGTCCCTAAGTCAGTCTGACTGATGTTTTTCTACCACACATTTTTCCTAGATGTTGTTGTTTGTTGTTGGATATCCCTCCAGAACAACGACAGATCAACATGACCATTAAGGAAAAACTCAAAACAGTACGTTTAACATTTTTTTTACAAGTACAAGTATATTCGGAGTTCAGATGGTTTAACGTATTTTCAGCCAGTACAACTGCTTCCGTATCCTAGAATAAGTAAGTCGCTCACCATGGTATTCCATGAAGAGTATCATGGAGAACAGATACTCTGCCTTACTCAGGAGGCATAGAAAAGATTGTGAGTTCTACTCAAGACTTCAGAGTTTGCTCTGTATGGTGTGTCCTGCATGGTGGAGGGTGTGACAACATACCTTACATTGCTTAACCAGCACCTAGGCTACTCTGCCATCACCACACATAGGAACCTGAGACAAGGCGCGGAAAACCTGGGGTGACCCGTGTGGTGGGAAACACGGCCAGCCCCTGCAGACATACCCACTGGAAATGCTCTCAGGATGTCTAACTGATGAGGTCAAAGTCAGGCACTCGGTGCTTAGGGTGGATGTCGAGCTGACAATGATGGTGTGTAATCACTAGAGATGGTATTTAAAATAATGGGATGGAAAGTAATCAAGAAGTTGTCCAAGACTTGGACTCTGGGTCACTGCAAAGCCAGGGACTGGCAAGGGCAAGAGCCACAAGGAATCTGAAAGAAGCAGGCAGAGATCCAGAGGCTGGCGGAGGGAGGCTAAGGTGGGCCAGTCTCCAGGAGGACAGAGTGAGAAGCCAGGTTCTGGGTGTCAAGGAGAGATAAGTGCATAAGAACAAAGTGTAAACACTGTAACCCACTTGTGAACCAGAAATACAACAGGAGCACAAGCCCTGCAGAAATGAGCAGACTCAACTGTGACTCCAACGCCATTCCCAGGACAATGAGGCCAAGTTCAGGGCCGGAGACATGCACCAAGCTGTAGCATTGAGTTCAATAGGAAAGACACCTCCAACAGACTACAGCGGTCACACCAGAGACCAGGGACAGATAGTTTAAGTATCAATATGAATAATAACCACCAGGGACCAAAACTCTGAACTCTGTTGTAACTGTTTAGTTCACAATTATACGCCAGTAAAAATGAAAACAAGAAAGGAACATGTATCCTGCTTTTCTTATACTTCAGGGTAACCAGGTGACTAATGAGCAGAAGCTGATCTATGTAGAAGTACTCCAGCTAATCAAGGAAAGAACACTGGCCTGCACTGTCGCTTTGCAAGTTTTAATGATGAGGGGATCTAGGCCTGGTTAACACTAGAGAGAGAAGTAGGCATCAAGCACCACACCATCTGTGCAGTCTGTCACCCTCACCCCAAAGTCACCCTGAATTCCAACAGGTCTAGATTCAAGGACCTGTCTACAAAGTTCAAGGACAGAGGAAAAAGGGACAGCTATGAGCAAAACCCAGAAAGTAAGGACCATTTTTTTTTCCAAAAAAGCAAATCAAGGAGAAAAGTAAAGAGGAGAGAAAGCCTACAGGTAAACCTGGGAGATACCAATCCAGTGCAGTCCACAAAGCTTATTTAAATCCAGATTAAACTGCACAAAACAGCGGAGACCACAATTGAGACTGCAGAGCTGAACACCGACAGGTGCTGGATGTCATCAGAGCACTGTGATTACTTATTTTGGTGTCACTGTAGTATTGCAGCTACACATTTAAAAAAGAGCCCTTGCTTTCATGATTTTAATAGAAAAATCCATAGAAAACAAGATGCCTCGTGTCTGTTTCACAGTGGATGGGAAAGAGAGAAGGGGACGGCAGAGACATAAGACAGGATGGAGGCAGGACAATGCTGAGCAAGGTGCACAGGGCTAACCACACTATCCTTACTTTTAGCTATGTTCGAAATTTTCAATAAGAAAGTTCTGCTTCATAGAGGGTATAATCCACCACAACCTCCCATACAGCGAAGTCAGACAAAGGGAAGCCTAGGGACTGAGGGCTGGCTTTGGCAAGGTAGAGGTTGCCAACGACACAAGAGGCTCTTCATGATGCACTCGTGACAACAGCATGACAGAGAGAGTTCAAGAAAAGGAAAAAGTGCATTCGGGACAATTCTAAGGGAAAAATAAAGACAGGGCAGCCAGGAGTCCCACAGAGTTGAGAGAGGCTCTTACTTTTGAACTAGTGGAGATGGTACTTACATAAGGGGGGAAATCCCCAAAAAACAGAATTTACTTATAAAAAATGTATATTTACTTTTACATGCTTAAACTTTAGTCACCTTCAAAGTACTCTCCATTTGATGCAATGCATTTGAGACACCTTTTCCACACTGCTCAATAGTTTTTGAATTGGTCAATGTTGACGCCTTTTAGTGCTTCTGTTGTTTTTTTGTTTCACCTCTTCCACATCAGCAAAATGTTTCCCTCTGAGGACTTTCATCCAGGGAAACAAAAAAAGTCACTTGGGGTGAGACAGAGTGAATGGGGGAGGGGGACTGAACTGAACACTCAGCACGCTATGGGCAGGTGCACTCATAAATCACCCATTGTGAAATGGGCAAACATGCTGAAAAAAATCTCCAAAACAAATTCCCTGAAGCCAAACACAACCTCTCACCACAATGCTAGCTGGTACATGGAGTCGATGGGTTCCTAGAACACTTACCAGCAGGGAAAGCCTGTACCACAAAGGGCTGCCCTCCAGAAGATAATTCCGGGTTTTATTTGGTCCCCTTGTATTTCTCTGACAGGAATGCCACAAAAAAAAGGGGGACTGATCACAAAGAGTGGAGGGACAGGAGCAGGAGCATCTCGAGGGGAAGAGTCAGGACCCCAGGCATACATGCAGGGGCTGTTCGTGGTAGATGCAGGACACCGCATCCATCTTAACAGAGACAAAAGTAAGCTGACAGATTTTTTGGCAGAAAGATCTGGATGTTCTCTTTTTCTTGCTCCTATGTTCTTGTAGAAAATAAAGAAAGGCCACAAGCCAGGTGTGGGGGTGTGGGGGTTTGGAGCAGTGAGTTGTGACATGATCACCCTGGAGCAGGTTAGTGGGTTTAAGAAACCCCAGTGGGAATGCCAGGGATCATCAATTATCATACATTTAAAGTAGGCCAGGCTCCTGTAATCCCAACACTTTGGGAAGCTGAGGCAGGAGTTTGAGACCAGCCTGGGCAACATAGTGAGACCCTCATCTCTACAAAACATTTTGTGTGGCAGTGCACACTCAGCTACTCAGGAGGCTAAGGCAGGAGGACTGCCCGAGCCTAGGAAGTTGCAGCTGCAGTGAGTTATGATTGCACCACTGCACTCTAGCCTGGGTGACAGAGGAAGACCTTGACTCTAAAAATAAATAAAATTAAACCAGTCATCATGTTACTGTTATTCTCTGGCCATGTTCAGCTGCTCTGGTACAGGAATGCACAAGGCCAAGATTCAGGATTAACCAGAGCTGAGATTTCTGTTGTTAGAGTACCATGGAGGGAGAGAAGGGGAAAGATGTGGGGGACCACACTGAGGTGATTACGACAGACAACAGGGGAGCTCCTGGGCCTTACAGATTATTGGAACTAAACACACTGGAGAACACATGGGATAGAGAGGAGGTGGCAGTCACAGTAAGGAGGCTTGTCACTAAGATCTGAAGGGGCTCGATGACTAGCAAAGGCAAGGTGAGCATGAATGATTTCTGCAGGAGAAAGCCAAGGGGTACTGGCTGGATCAATCTCTAACATAAATCTCTAAGAGCCACGAGAGGAGCTGAAGCAGAGAGAAGATGCAGAGTCAGGGGTAAAAGGTGGCTCAGAATCTGGGCATGGGGTCGAGGCGCTGGAGTCACAGGCAGGGGACAAGAGGGGGTGAGGAGGAGCAAGGTGAGCACCCACCCCCTCTTGGCCCTGTGGTGTGCTGGTGAAGAAAAAGTTGGTCTTGAGGGCTGCGGGCAGGTGATGAGGGGGCACAGTGCAGCAGCCACCACCGGAGGCCTCGCGTCCAAGACTGTCTCATTGCCACAGAGGACACAGGGCTCACACTCATGTCCAGAGGCACCTAGGGTGAGGGACTTCAAAGATAACATTACAAAACGGTCAGTGTTTATTTACCTTCCTGCTGTAATTGCGCCAAGAAAAGTGCAAGGTATGTATCTGATATTAATTCTGGACCCGTCAAGAGAGAATTCAAGTTAAACCACTGGAAAAAAATTATCAATACTTAAGTTAGTGCACATCATAGGTAACAAGGAAGTTTCACATATAAGAATAGATATAACCTGTTTAAGCTTCGTAAGACTGCCAAAACATTGCCAATATGTCAAATTGAGAGCTCTTTTTTTGAGTCAAGGTCTCCCTCTATCACCAGGGCTGGATTGCAGTGGCATAATTAGGGCTCACTGTAGTCTCAACCTTCTGGACTCAGGCGATCCTCCTGCCTCAGGCTCCCCAGTAGCTGGGGCTGCAGGCAAATACCACCATGACTGGCTAATTCTTTGAATTTTTTTGTACATATGAGATCTTGCTATGTTGCCCAGGCTGACTTGAACTCCTCCTGGGTCCAAACAACCCTCTCGCCTTGGCCTCCCAAAGTGCTGGGATCATAGGTATGAGCCACTGTGCCCAGACAAGAGCTCTTCTAAAGTAATGGAATAATACAATTTTTAAAAACTAAAACAATGCAGGCACAGGAGCTCAAGCCTGTAATCCCAGTACTTTGGGAGGCTGAGGCAAGAGGATTGCTTGAGTCTAGGAGTTTGAGACCAGCCTGGGCAACCTGGTGAGACCTCATCTCTACAATAAATCAAAAATCAGCCAGGCCTGGTGGCACATGCCTATAGTTCCAACTACTTGGAAGGCTGAGGCAGAACGATCGCCTGAGCCCAGCAGGTTGAGGATGTGGTAGCTATGAGCGTGTCACTGCACTCCAGCCTGGACAACAGAGTGAGACTCCAACTCAAAAAACAAAAACAAATAAACAGTCTGGGTTCGGTGGCTCAGCCTGTAATCCCAGCACTTTGGGAGGCCAAGGTGAGTGGATTGCCTGAGCCCGTGGGTTGGAGACCCACCGGGGCAACTTGGTGAGACCTCATCTCTACAGTAAATCAAAAATTAGCTGGGCATGGTAGCGCACGCCTATAGTTGTGGCTACTTAAAGGCTGAGGCAGAAGGATTGCTGGACCCCAGCAGGTCGAGGCTGTGGGGCCAGGAGCGTGCCATTGCACTCCAGTCTGGGCGACAGAGTGAGACTCCAACTCAAAAAAACCCTAAAAGTTTGCTTTAAGCCATAAACTTTAAATCCCCACCAAAAGAATAGAAACTAACAGTAGTTTATTAGTAGGTATAACTAAATCTTTTTTCAAAGTACCAGTCAAAAAAAAAATGCAAAAAACAAACACAAAACACCAGTCTGACAACTCCAATCACATTTATTGTACCAATGTAGAAGAAAAATGACAAGTACACAAAGTTTCCCCACTACTGATAATTGGTCAAAATACTCCCAATTATGGTAAAGTTAGAAGTTAGTTATTCTAAAAAGAGAATTTATAATTACCAACTCAGTTTTAAAAAAAAGCACTAAATGACCATTGCATATAATTAACATCATTTATCACTACCTCACAGGAATCCTAATTTAACTCACAAAGTGTCAAAAGTTACTGTCAACTGAGCACAGTGGCTCAACCCTGCAATCCCAGCACTTTGGGAGGCCGAGGCAGGAGGATTGCTTGAGCCTAGGAGTAGGAGACTGGCCTGGGCAAGAGTCACCTACTCAAAAAAAAAAAACCAAAAAAAACCCAAAAAAAACGTTACTGTCAACATCATGAACAACTACTTTTCCTGGATTCTGACATTGCTGGCAATGTTTTTCAGCCTTCTCTTTCATTACATAGGAACCTCAGACAGAGTCCATAATGAAAGAGACAATTTTAAACAAAAATAAAAACTAGAACCAAAGATAAACTAAAATTTGTCATCTTCTGTAATTATCAAAAATAAAGTAGCTCAAATATAAATTTGTCAAAATAAAGTAGACAAATATTTCTTTCTGTATTTGTCAAAAATAAACATTCAATTTTGCAGAACTAAAATTTTAAAACCTCTCAAAATTAAAACAGGTAAGTTTTTAAATGCTTATGTGCTATAGAGACAGGGTCTCTCTATGTTACCCAGGCTGGTCTTGAACTCTGGCTGCAAGCAGTCTTCTTGCCTTGGTCTCTCAAAGTGCTTGGATCATAGGCATGAGCCACCATGCCTAGTCATTTTTGCTAGTTGTTTATTTTTTTTAACAGATTTTTTGAGGTGTAACTGACAAGCAACAAACTGCATTCTGAAAGATTTCGACATCTGTATACTCTACACTTGAAACCATCCCAACTCAGTGAACACATCCTGCCAGGTCTCCTGCCCCTTAGTGACCCTCCCTCTCACCCCTCCCTGCTGTTTCATCCCCCAGGAAACCTCTGGGTGACCTGCTCTGTCACCTCAATGAGGTGGCATTTTTCTAGACTTTTTGTAAATGGAGCCAAGCAGTATGCAGCATCCTGTGTCTGGCCTCTTCGTTCAACCTAGTTATTTTGAGATTCATCCATGTTGCTGTCTGTATCAGTGATTCATTCCTTTTTATTGCTCTAGCCAGTTTTCAATGATCCCCTTTCAAAGATTCAAAATTCCAATCAAAAGGACTGTCAATGATTCTGTTTCTTTAAAAAGCTTTTCAAGACATGCTCCATATTTTCTTTTCTTTTCTTTTTTTTTGAGTCTAAGTTGGACTCTGTCTCCCAGGCTGGAGTGCAGTGGCACACTCACAGTCATCACAGCCTGGAACTGCTGGGCCCAGACGATCCTCCTACCTCAGTCTTTCAAGCAGCTGGAACTACAGGTGTGTGCCACCACACCCGGCTAACTTTTTGGTTTATTGTAGAGACAAGGTATTGCCATGTTGCTCAGGCTGGTCTCAAACCCCTGGACTCAGGCAATCCTCTCACCTCTGCCTCCCAAAGTGCTAGGATTACAGGCATGAACCACCACACCTGATCCATTTTCTTAAACAGAAGGACTCTCTGTAGATGCATGTATTACAAGGCATCTCGGAATCCTGTCAACACTCTTACTGGAGCAATATAGCTGAGTGCTTTCACTCATGCCTGGCATTGTTCCAGGCTTTGAGCCAGTAAGGAGCTAAGTACATATCTACAGATGTAATAATAACTGACAGAACACAGTCATCATCTAAAAACCCACTTAAAAGTAACTACATCAGCAATGTCTTAAATAGAAGTTTTTCTTATTATATAGTTCAATCATATATGGTTGTCACACATCTACAATGGAAACTGATATTATCTTTTTAAATGGGAAATTTCTATCAAGGTTGAAACCATGACACACACACACACACACACACATATTGCTGGTTGGTTTCCTCATTTTAAGGAACTAATCCCTAACATTTTAGTTTTAAATGGAGTGCAAAATGAAAAAAAAAAAAAGACACAGAGAGATAAGAAATATTACCTGTTTTCCTAATTTTCTAACTGTAAACCAGTGCTCTTTATAATTGCATATAAATGATCTTTCATTTCTAGAAGAGAAAAAACACAAAGACAATATTAAGTTTAAATATTGAGTTCATATTCATTTGTCTACTAGCACACATTATATAAAATTTGTGATCATTTAAGATTATGTTTTCAGTTAAGTATCACTGTTTTTTTCCTTAAATGACACAACTGCACGAGCCTCTCTGCAATAGCTGGTGATGCCGTGGCAAATGGTGGCCTCATGTGCCATGTGAGGGTCAGCCCTGCACCACACAAGGGTCAGCTCAATGCTATAGACAGAAGGTCAGCCCTGTGCCACATGAGGGTCAGCCTGGTGCCAAAGATGGTCTGCCCTGTGCCATACAAGGGTCAGCCTGGTGCCACAAACAAAGGGTCAGCCCTGTGCCACATAAGTGTCAGCCACGTGCCAAAGACAGAGGGTCAGCCCAGTGCCACAGACGGGGTCAGTCCGGTGCCACGGACAGAAGGTCAGCCCTGTGCCACACGAGGGTCAGCCCTATGTCACAGACAGGGGTCAGCCCTGTGCCACACGAGGGTCAGTCATGTACCACATGAGGGTCAACCCTATGCCCCAACAGGGGTCAGCCCTGTGCCACAGGAGGGTCAGCCCTATGCTGCAGACAGAGGTCAGCCCTGTGGCACATGAAGGTTGGCCCTGTGCTACACAAGGGTCAACCCTATGCTGCAGACAGGGTCAGTCCTGCACCATGCAAGGGTCAGCCTGATACCACAGAGGGTCAGCCCTGTGTCACAGACAGAGGGTCAGTCCTGTGCCACAGACAGAGGGTCAGTCCTGTGCCACGTGATGTTCAGCCCTATGCCACAGATAGGGGTCAGCCCTGTGCCACACAAGGGTCAGCCCTATGCTGCAGACAGGGATCAGCCCTGGGCCACATGAGGGTCAGCCCTGTGACACATGAGGGTCAACCCTATGCTACAGACAGGGGTCACCCCTGTGCCATGTGAAGGTCAGCCCTGTGCCACACGAGGGTCAACCTGAAGCCACAGACAGGGGTCAGCCCTGCACCACAGACAGGGGTCAGCCCTGTGCCACATGAGGGTCAGTCCTATGCTGCAGACAGGGTCAACCCTGTGCCACAGTCAGAGGGTCAGCCCTGTGGCATTTGAGGGTCAGTCCTGTGCCACGCAAGGGTCAGCTGGTTCCACAGAGGGTCAGCCCTGTGTCACGCGAGGCTCAGCCCTGCCACAGAGGGTCAGCCCTGTGCCATGTGATGCTCAACCCTGTGCCACAGACAGAGGGTAAGCCCTGTGCCATGTGAGGGTCCATCCTATGCCACAGACACCAGGGTGTCAGAAGACTCAGGCATGTGCTCACAGACATCAAAAAAGGTGAAATAGAAAGTCTGAGGGAACAAAACAGGGAACAACAAAATAAAAGTATTTAAGACATATTTATCTTAAGAAATTATAACTTTAAAAATCATTTGCCTTTGCTTTTTCAGTGAGGAAAAAAAAAGTAAAACTTAAATTTAGGAAAGGAAACATAGGAAATGCAAAATACAATCTTACATAGGATTGATCCTGAGCCTCTGATACTCTGGACTGTTGAAGAGGATGAGTTCTAAGCCCCAAACTTTCAAGGCATTGCTTATCACCTGTTAAAAAGATAGCAACTTTTCATGTGCTAAACCAGTCAATTCCAATTTTAAGTAAGTAGTCATGGTAGTCATGTAAACAATTGTACTTCACATGTAAACTTCACTAAAGGGTATGGTCTTAAAAAGCATGTGTGTACAGACAGATCACTGAATAGCACACACATTTATTATGAGAGTGCTTTGTGTATTAGATTCCTGAGATGTTCAATAGAGCCATACAATTCCTAGATAAAACTGCCTCAAAAATCTAGATGGATACGGTATCCAGCAGGTGCTGTCCTTAAAGCCAGTCCACTCACAAATCTGATAGTCTGGCTGCTTTAGAAAAGTCACATCCAACTCACTAACTGCAGCGTCGGAAATCTTGTGTCTATTAGATGAGTCCTCTGGGGCATCAGAGACCCTAGATGTCTATTACAGTCACAGGTTTTTAATTTGTAGGAAAAAACCAAAAGACAAGCCTGATTACTTCAGAGAAAACAGGGAAATTTCTAAAAATGCACAGATTGTTTCAAGTTGTCTGAGAAAAAGGGAACTTTCTGAAGACTCACTCTCTACCCTCCAAGCAGGGCGGCCAACAAGAAGCCAACAAGAAGCAAGGGAAGCAGGTCCTGGAACAGACAAGGTGAGCGCAGTGTAGGGAGTGCAGCTGGGGGTAAAGGGACACCAGCAGGAAGTGGAACCCTGCAGCAGCCATGACCCGCTGAGGATGATAGCACAGTGCTGATGGGAACGCCAGTGGGTACAGAGATCAGGAAGGCAGCATAGGAAAGTAGCAACAAAGGTGTGTGCAGAGCAGGCCCTTCGGGAGGGCTTCTGAGAGGACTCTGGGTACGACCCACAGTCAGAATGATAAAGGGATCTCACAAGTGTGTATATGCTGCAGAATTCAAAGGAAGCCAAGTGATTTAAAAAAAAAAAAAATCAGAAGTCACAGACCACAATAAAGAAATCCATTCCTGGTAGGCTGACTGAAAAGGAGCATGGCCAGGTATTGCACTTTCTCAACTTACCCAAGAGAAAGTAAGTTTGAAGCACTGTGACTTATTAGAATTATGATTATTAGCATCCAGAGGCAAATTAAATAATCTCTCTCAAAAAGTAACTTTTAAAAGCCCTGCTCTAAAATGAAGGTCCTACAACCTAATTTTCACGTCTGTCTACATAAACATCTAGTGTTCTACAGTGCAATCTTAATCTCTGCAGATACTATCTACTGGAAGAGCTTCTGCAGGCCATATCCCTACAGTATTACAAAAGACTGATAAACCACTTCTGGGACATAAGCCACGCATAGTGCATGCCCATGACTACTCACCTGAATAGAGAAAAAGCCACTGTCATCCATATTTCCAGAAGGCTGCTGTTCATTTTGATAGGTAGTCGAAGAGGGGGAAGGAAGGAGAAGGAAAATCTGTTATTGGTGTGCAAATTTTAAAAATTTATTTTTATTTTTGAATCGAGGTCCCACTCTGTCCTTGGTTGCCCAGGATGGAGGGCAGTGGCACGATCACAGGTCACCACAGCCTCAATTGCCTGTGCTCAGGCAATCCTCCCACCTCAGCCTGCCGAGTAACTGGGACCACAGGCAGGTGCCACTACGCCCAGCTAATTTTTTTTGGAGATAAAGTTTTGCCTTGTTGCCCAAGCTGGTCTTGAACACCTGGGCTCAAGTGATCCTCCTAATTCAGCCTCCCAAAGTTCTGGGGCTACAGGCACGTGCCACCATGCCCAGCTTAGGGTGTAGTCCCACTTACAAGGTCAAGAACAGAGTTACAGTTAATCAGTCAGATCCTTGTGGGCAGAATGGCTCCTCCTTTTCTAGGCAGTACCCGCATTTTAGGAAGCAGACTGAGTTTAAAGTCAACACCTGCAGAAACGTCCGGTAGTCTTCGCTGGTTACACCCCCCTCCGCCATCCTCATCCGCTCCTCCTCGTCCAGCTGGTGTGCGATGGAGGACAGCTCCACGGGGCTGAAGTACTCCCCCTGCAGCAGGTTGTTCAGGCAGTGCTGCGCGCACAGCGAGCCTTCTTGCTGACCAGCCCAAAGGGAAATTCACGGGTGAGTCACAGGACAGACTGCACAGCACCTTCCCCAGCAGACTCCAGCAGCAGCTCGTGAACAGCCAAAGCGCACCCCCCTCGCTTGAGACAAAACATGATGAGCGCAGGTTCACGCATTTCTATCTGTCAACATTTACTGCACAATTCTACCATCAATGAAACTACGATTTCTTGGATATTGGGTGAAAAACGTAAGAATTATTCACTTTATACAAACATTATCATCTATCAATGACATCAACTTTTATATCTTACTAAAAAACCACTGTATAAAACAGCCTCCCTCGTCTTCAGTACCTAAGATAAATTTATCTTTGGAGATTGATAAAAGAGACTTTTGATCCCAAGAACATTCATTTATTTTAAAAGTGGGGTCTCACTACATTGCCCAGACTGGACTTGAACAGATGTGCCTTAAAGTCCCATAGAGGAACATTCACAAAAGCACAACTCAACACAAACACACCCCACAATCCAGCAACTCCACAACCAGGCACACGATGACATAATAGATATCCATCAAAGTCCTGCAGAGTGATGCTCACAGAAGCATGACTTGCAACAGTCCTAAAATGGAAGCTATTGAGATGGACAGTTCAGATCACAGTAGAATGGAAATCATGTTGTATTCACCAGGAAACGCTCTGTCACAATGAGAAGAAATTAACCACAGTTGCCTGGAACAACATGGACAGATCTCTCAAAAAACATTACACAAAAGAGGAAGACTCCAAGGGTACAGTGTATGACTCCACTCACAAAAGTTCAGAAAAGGCAAAGCAAATCCATGGTGTTAGGGTTCTGCAGCATGGTGACCTCGGATGTGAGCTAGAAGAGGGCATGAGGGGCTCACGGGACACGGGTAACTCATGTGTTCACTCTGAGTACTCACAGAGCTGCAGTGTTACAGGCGTGCACCTCTGTGTTACATTTAATGTCCACACACCAAGCAGAAGCCTCTGCTGAGATATGACCACTCCACACACCAAGAGCTGTCCAGCACAACCACCAGACTTGGGCTTTCTGGGCACTGTTGTAACTAACCGCTGTCCTGCCGTCAAGCTACAAGTCTCAGTGTGGGATCTGTGAGGTATGGTCACCACACTCAGTATTATACAGAGAAATGTGACATGCAAACAGGTAATCAAAATTCTCTCCACAAAATGTAGCTTTAAATTATAAAAACTAAGCACTTGAAATTAAATCTTGTCAAAGTAAAACTGTTGCTGAAGGAAACATCAACTTCTCTACTTCTAACACTATTTAAGGAAGGAAAGGACAAATAGTATAGTTCAAATTTAAAAATCACTTAGGTCACTACATAGGTCAGACTTACCCAGACCAGAAAGACTGTCTGATGGCCTAAGATGATACATTTTCCTGCCTGCCCCATTCCAGTCATCTCTTTCCATCAACCCTTGACCAAAGTAGAGTAAAAGTTCACTTTGCTAGCGGCCAGGTCCAGTGGTACTGAGACCCCAAGACTTCAGGTCCAGACTCCATGTACTGGGCTCAGAGGAAAAGTGAACTGAGCTCTACTAAGATACTTGATAACCACAACAGGGGCCACCTCCTCCCCAGTCTCTTAGGACCAGTTGGAAACTTGCTCAAATTCCCACAGACACTGTTCGCTACAACAGACACCAGGGATGAGCCTAGGAGTGCTCTCAGAAACAGGCCAGCAGGGAGCACTCGGCCAACCCAGCAGTGCTTCTCATCTCCTTTGGGGCTCTCCCACCAAGGAGGAGCAGACACAAGCATCATTCTCATGAAGTGACATGGAGTGGTAACAGTTTCCCATGCTGAACATGGTCCCATACCAAAGCCACTGAAGACAGTAAAAACATGCACATGTACAACTTCTCACCCCTCCTCAGCCAAGCAACCAAATCGCTCCTCTATGATTCATAAATCATGTCAATCAAAAGATGAGTGATAATTATGCCACTATATCTTCCTCCTCCACTCAAAAATCAGTCTGCTCCAGTTCCAAAAGATTCTGAAATGGTGGTTTTTTTCTTTTTTGAGTTGGAGTCTCACTCCATCACCCAGGCTGGAGTGCAGTGGTACGTTGGAGTGCGTGGGCCTGCTGGGCTCCAGCAACCCTTCTGCCTCAGCCCTCCAAGTAGCCAGAACTACAGGCGCACTACCATGCCATGGCTATTTTTTATTTTATTGTAGAGACAAGGTTTCACCAAGTTGTCCAAGTTGGTCTCGAATTCGTGGGCTCAGGCAATCCACTTGACTCGGCCTCCCAAAGTGCTAGGATTACAGGTTGAGCTACCGAGTCCAGCCTGTCTTTTATTTTATGTTATTTTTAAGTTAGGGTCTCACTGTCCCCAGGAAGCAGTGCAGTGGCAGGATCATGGCCCACTGCAGCTTCACCTCCTGGGCTCAGGCGATTCTTTCACCTCAGCTTCCAGCCCAGCTGTTTTAATTTTTTGCAGAAATGATGGCTCACTGTATCATCAGGCTGGTCTCAAACTCCTATGCTCAAGCAATCCTCCCACCCTGGCCTCCCAAAGTGCTGGGATTACAAGTGCGAGCCACCCCTCCCAACCTGAAATAGTTTCTATAAGGAAAAGCATTCCACCTAACAATTTGTTTAGCAGCAGGCAACACATTTATACCATGCCTCTTTTGCCTCTGATGAATGCTTTATCTAATTGTTGCACGTGTGCATTTTTAAATCTAGGATAAATGATCATTCAAAAGTACTTACTAAAACAAATTACTTCACTCCTAAGTAACATGCTCACCAGAAACCCTCCCCAAACCTCCCATAACAGTCACAAAACAAGATATCGGAACTAGAGTCGTCCTAGGAAGGTCCCACTCACACCTAAATAGCCTGACAATGGTACCTGCCACAAACGGCGTCTTGAAGTGCAAGGTCAGGAGGAATCAAGGTGACAACAGGCTGACCACGACAAAGTCGTTCTAGTCCACCCCAATACCTAAAATTAAAGCTGGCCCCTACCCCGGAAAGCCCAGAGAACCAGAAGAACCCCCTAAACACCTCACGGTAAAAACTTTGGCGGCGACTTCCCTGTTGGGGCGCACGGCGCTCCCCACTCGGCGTCCCGAGTGCGGGACACAGAATTGACTGAGTAGGACTCCAAGGATCGAGTGTGGGAGGTTCCAACACACAGCCCAAGAGCCGCAGCCGGAGAAGTCAATCCTGCGGGGTGAGGCTGGAGGGACCGGGGCGGCATTCCATGGGCGAACGGGTGGAGGGAAGGAGGCAGGGGCGGAGGAACTCCGGAAGGGCTGCGGACTGGCGGGACCCGCAGATCCGGCCACGCGCGCCACCGTTCCCAGGTCCCCCGACCCTGGCAGGGCGTGTGGGTAGTGGGACGTCCACGAGGCTCCCCCAACCCCCGAGCGGGGCGTACGGGAAGTGGGGAGTCCTCGAGGCTCCTCCGATCCGGGATAGGGCGTGGGGGTAGTGGGACACCCGCGAGGCTCCCTGGAACTAGGGCAGAGCGTGGGGGCAGTGGGGCGTCCTCGAGGCTCACCCGACCCTAGACAGCGCACGGGGGTTGCGGGAGTCCGCGAGGCTCCCACCGCGGGCTGCGGATGGAGCGTCGCCCTGGGCGCGGGGTGGCGGGACGGGGGCGACGCGGGCCCCGCCCGGCCCCAGGGGAGGCGGTGAAACTATACCGCACACCCGCCCCTGTCTTGGGCAGCCCCCATCGCACGCGGACACTCACTTTCTCGTGAAAGATGGACTCCATGTTCGTTTGTCTGGAGTCAACGGCCCCCGCTCCGAACCGCCCCCTCGGGCCCCACTCCCAGCCCACTCTCTGGTCCACCCCGCCGCACCACAGCCCACGTGTCTCGCGCTGGCCAATCACCACGAGGATTAGAGTCATGTGACGCGAAGAGCGCGTGAACGCTGGGGCGTGACCTTGGTAGTGCGTCCTCCCAGTTTGTTATCCGGCCGTATAGGGTGCTACGGCGCCACCTGCCGTCCGGAGGACCTCCGCTTCCTACCCATTTCTGTGGATTCTCTGGTTGCCTGGGGTCTGGACCACTCACCTCGGGTCTGTGTTCTTGTTTTCCACTTTACTTTGTACTTTCTACTGATCACGTCTGCATATGATTATTTGCAGGAAAAAAAAAAGGCACCATTGCATTCCCTCTAAACATAGCACTTGTGTAAAAATGATAGTTTGTATTTACATAGGGCTTCCTATAGGCTAGGCACTCTTCTAAGTGCTGTGCATAGAATAATGAATTTAATACAGCAACCGGTGATGTAAGTGTTGATACCAGCCTTATTACACACATGAGGAAACTGAGGCACAGAGAGGTTAATAAGAGCACAACGTCCAAGGTCAGATTGTAAACCCCTTGCCAGGACTCAGATCCAGAAAGCTTGTCAGCAGTGGAGGTGTTCCAGCCCTGAAGAGGAAGTGTCAATTGGGGAAGTAAGAAGTCCAAAGGGGAGGGGCTTGTTGAAGGATGGGGCAGATTTTGTCCTTGGAACCAGGCTGACGTGTCCTTTTTTTTAATTTAATTTTTTATTTTTTATTGTATTGAGTTGGAGTCTCACTCTGTCGCCCAGGCTAGAGTGCAGTGGCACGCTCATGGTCACCGCAGCCTCGACCTGCTGGGCTCAGGTAATCCTTCCGCGTCAGCCTTCCAAGTAGCTGGAACTAAAGGCACACACCATCACGGCTGGCTCATCTTTTGATTTATTGTAGAGATGAGGTCTTGCCAAGTTGTCCAGGCTGGCCTCGAACCTATGAGCTCAGGCAATCCTCTCATCAAAGGCACCCAAAGTTGTAAGATTATAGGCGTGAGCCACTGCACCCGGCTGGAGGTGTTCTTTTTAAAGGCAACGGGGTGCTATCTAAAGATTTTCAAAAAAGGACACTGTCAGACTTGCATTTTAGAAAGATGGAGCAGGTTGACAGCAGTTGCTGGAAGGCGTCTTGGGAGAGATGGTGGTGGTTTGGATTAGGGTAGTGACTTGAAGCTAGATAGACTGCTCTGAGAGATAATTAGGAAGTGCAGAGACTCAAGACATCTTGGTAACAGACTGGGAAGGAGACAAAAGTGTGAGGGATGGCCAGGCACAGTGAATCGCACCTATAATTCCGGCACTTTGAGAGGCAGAGACGGGAGGATTGCTTCAGGAGTGCAAGACCAGCCTAGACAACATAACTAGACCTTGTCTCTACTAAAAAATAAAAATAAAAAAATAATTAGGACTTGGCAGCAACTTGGATGGATTTAGAGTCTATATATTCAATAATCTATCACAGCACAGAAACAAATGACTGGTACTACATGTCCTCACTCATAAGCAGACCCTGAACATTTACCATATTATAAGAAGAGATTGGCAGTAGCAGGACACTGTGGTGGCGGGGGGGGGGGGCACATAACATCAATAAGTGTACCTGATCTCAAACCAGGCAAAGTGGAGACCAAAGGGAGACCCAAACTTTACCTGTGCAATAACCATTTGTATACCTAATCCTGAATTGTACCCCACATCTTTAAAATACAATAAAATAAAATAAAATGAAGACATAAAAATGGTTATGGTGATAAATTGTATGATGTATTTTTACTACAATAAAAATCGACTATTTAATGAAAAAAAATTAGCCAGGCTTGGTGGTGCCTATAGTCCCAGCTACTCAGGAGGCTGAGGTGGGAGGACCACTTGAACCCAGAAGCATCCTGTTACTGCACTCCAGCCTGGGTGACAAAGTGAGACTCTGACTCAAAAAAAAAAAAAAAAAAAAAATGTGAGGGACAACTTGAGGTTTTCTGCCCTAGGCAGCCACTATGGTCAGAGAGACATCATTGAGGTCAGAAACACGGGAGGAGTGAGGTTTTGGGAAGAGAAAACAATGAGTTAACATTCTGGAGAAACTGAATTCGAAATATCTATGAGACAGTCAAGTAATCATGTTGAGTAATGGTTGGCTATCAAGCTGGAATTCAGGAGGCTGGTTTGGGCTGTGGGACAGGGAACTGTTAGCATGAAAAGGGTAATTGAAACCTTAGGTGAGAATAAAATCCTCTTAGGGAGATGAGGATTTGGAACTGTGCCCCAAGGGCAGAGGAGAAGTGGCCGAGGAGGGAGGAAAGGCATGTGGTCACACTGTGGCCTCCGGGAAGGGGAAGTTTCAGGAGAGGCCAGTTGGCTGCAAACAAGTCAAGTGACATTACAACTCACAGAAGTCCACTGGTGACTTGAAGAGTGCAGGTTCAGTGGAGCAGGGGTGCGGTGAGAGGCGAGGGATGGAGACTGCTGTGAGGACCAGGAGCTCTAGGAGAGGAGATGGTGGCCACTAATGAAACATCTGTGTGCACAATCCACCGTCCTGTGCTGGGGAGGGCCTTACTCTTATGGAACTTCGACCTAACCAGTGAAATAAATCATAGTCTCACGAGATGAAAAAAACGGCAAACCACTTTTTCTATTTTTTTTTAAGTTGTAGCTGATGTCTTCCAAATTAATGAAGCCAGACGTCTTAGTCTGTTAAGGCTACAGTAACAGAATACCTTAAGCTGGGTGATTTTTTGTTTGTTTATCTTGTTTGGTTTTTTTTGTTGTTTAATTTAAAATTTTTTTATTTTAAAATTGTAAGGTATAATTCAGGGTTAGGTATACAAATATTCATTGTGCAGGTATCCTTGTTGATGAGGTGTGTCCCCCCTTCCCTAAGCAGATTTCCACTACTGTCAATCCCACATCCCCACCCGTTTTGTTTTTCAATACTTATTACAGTGTTTACTAGGTAGTGTCTGAGATGTATTTATAAACAGATTTCTTGCTCACAGTTCTGGAAGCTGAGAAGTCCAAGATCGAGGCTCCAGCAGTTTCTACTGGTTTGAGACCAGCCTGGGCAACTTGTAAAGATTTCATCTCTACAATAAATAAAACAATCAGCCAGGTGTGGTGGCGCACACCCGTCGTTCCAGCTTTGTGGAAGACTGAGGCGGAAGGATCGCTTGAGCCCAGCAGGTCGAGGCTGTGGTGGCCATGAGCGTGCCACTGCACTCCAGACTGGGCAACAGAGTGAGACTCTGACTCAAAAAAAAAAAAAAAAAAAAAAAAAGCTGGGTGTGGTAGTACACACGTGTAGTTTCACCTCCTTAGAAGGCTGAGGTGGAAGGATTGCCTGAGCCCAGGAGGTTGAGGTGGTGGCTGTGAGTGTGCCACTGCACTCTAGCCTGGGCCAACAGAGTGAGACTCTGACTCAAAAAAGAAAGGCTTCCTCAGGTCTGTCTTATGAAGGCACTGATTCATTCTCGAGGCCTCTGCCCTCATGACCTGGTTACCTCCCCACGGCCCCCCCTCTTAATACATCAACACACTGGGGATTAGGTTTTGAACTCCGAGTTTTGGAGGGAGACACTCAGGCCACAGCACCTCCATCGGTCCTCAGATGCATGGGGGCCACACCTGACTCTCTTGCTCGTCTTCATTAGTTCAAGTCCGAGAATCTCTGAATCCATCTTGTGATTCCAGTCCTAATACGTCTAACTCGTGGTGTGTCCATGATCTCTCAAAAGTGCAATGTTTCCAGTTTTTCTTTCATTTAACAAATGGGGGTCTTACTGTGCATCAGGCATTGGACTGTAACCATGAAAAAGGTAAGCCGGGCTTGGTGGCTCAGGCTGTAATCCCAGCACTTTGGGAGAGACCCGCCTGGGCAACTTGGTGAGACCTCATCTCTACAATAAGTCAAAAATTAGCTGGGCGTGGTAGCGCGCGCCTGTAGTTCCAGCTACTTGGAAGGCTGAGGCGGAAGGATCGCCGGAGCCCAGCAGGTCGAGGCTGCGGTGGCTCTCCAGTCTGGGTGACAGAGTGAGACTTCAACTCAAAAAACCAGAAAAAGATAAACTGTCCCTTCTTCAAGGTTTATGCTGGGAAGGATGCTTAAATAATTACATAAATCTTTCTTTTAAAATGCTTCAGTGCTTCCCATGGCCTTCCTGTTGATGGCTTAAAAAGCTCTTTGTGACCTGAGCAACCACCTGTCCCACTTTTTCTCCTTGAATTCCCTCTGCTCCAGTCACACCAGGTTCCTCCCTTGATTTCTGGAAAGTTCACTGAGAAGTGCTTTGTGTCACCACTATACCTTGCCTATCCAAATATATACATACATATATTTGGAGTGGCACACTCACAGCCACCCCAGCGTCGACTTGCTGGGCTCTGGCGATCCTTCCACCTCAGCTTTCCAAGTAGCCAGAACCACAGGTGTGCGCTACCACACCCAGCTAATTTTTTTTTTTTGAGTTGGGGTCTCACTCTGTCACCCAGACTGGAGTGCAGTGGCCACTCCAGGCCACCTCAGCCTCGACTTGCTGGGCTCCGGCGATCCTTCTGCCTCAGCCTTCCAAGTAGCCGAAATTATAGACATGCACTACCACGCCCGGCTGATTTTTTGACTTATTGTAGAGATGAGGTCTCGCTGCCCAGGCAGGTCTCGAACCCACGGGCTCAGGCAATCCACTCACCTCAGCCTCACAAAGGCGCATGATTACAGGCTGAGCCACCGAGCCTGGCTTAATTTTTTTATTTATTGTAGCAACGAGGTCTCACCATGTTGCCCAGGCTGATCTTGAACCCACGGGCTCAGGCAATCCTCTCACCTCAGCCTCCCAAAGTGCTGGGATTATAGGTTTGAGCCACCGCGCCCAGCCTATGACTATCCCTATATTAAATCCCTCTTTATACCAACTGGATTCAGTACTTTCTACACTACTGAACTATCAGCTCTTGAGGGTCAGAGGAGCCTTGATCTTTAGGTCAAGAGTTGGTACACAGCGGTGAATACAGGCACAAATTGCTTCTGGCACAAAAAAGTATAGTAATCCAGTAGAAGAGAGAGTGAAGTGATTGAGCTTATCAGGTGAGTTCCTGGAGACAGATCATACAGATGCACTTCCATTAGGCTTCCTATGTCACCTTGGACAACTCAACTTTAATCTACTTCACTGAAACCGTATGTTAACAATTGAGACTGCACAAAGATATTTCCATCTTCTTGAACACTGTATCTTTTAAATTCAAACTGGTATTAATTTTGTTACCAAAAATCAAATGGTAAAAACAAACATCAAATGTTTCACATTTTAAAATGTATAATGTGTTAATTTAACTGTCCTGGTTCCCACATGAATCAATAACTAGGAAGTACTGTTCCATTGTAAATTTCTAAATTCAGTCTTACCTAAAACAGATTGATAAAATTTGGCTTCCAAGAAGAGGTAGTTGAACTTGACAGTATATTTTTTTAAATGGACAATGGAATTAAGAGAGAATCCAATTTACTTGTATAAATCTTAGCATTAGCAATTTATAGTTCATGCAAAATATACACAATAGCATTGTGTTGAAACTCCCCAGGTCTAACGATTTGGGGGTACTAGTGTACTAGTGGTGGCAATAAAACCAAAGAACAAAATAAATAAAACTTAATGTTGCTGATCAGTGCTATTTTTGTTCTTTCTAAAAAATATTATCCTAACATTTGATTACTTATTTTTTTTGTCAATCTGCCTTCATGTATTGATATTTTATTTACTTCTCTGGTGTTGCTTTCACTTTTTTTTTTTTTAAGAGATGGAATTCTCATTCTGTCACCCAGGGTGGAGTGCAGTAGTGTGATCATAGCTCATCGCAGCCTCAAACTCCTAGCCTCTAGTGATCCTCCCACTTCAGTCTCCCAAAGCAGGACTACGGGTGCCCATGTCATCATGTTTGGCTAATTATTATTTCTTGAGTCAGAGTCTCACTTTGTCGTCCAGGCTGGTATGCAGTGGCATGCTCACAGCCACCACAGCCTTGACCTCAAGCAATCCTTCCTCCTCAGCCTTCCAAGTAGCTGGAACCACAGGTACTGTGCCACCATGCCCAGCTAATTTTTTGACTTATTGTAGAGACAAGGTCTTGCATGTTGCCCAGGCTGCTCTCAAAACCATGGGTTCAGGCAATCCTCTCACGCCTGCCTCCCAAAGTGCTGGAATTACAGGCATGAGCCACCACACCTGGTTCTGTTTGGCTAATTAGAAAAAAAAAAATTTTAGAGATGGGGGTCTTGCTATGTTGTCCATGCTTGGTGTTGGCTGTAGAATTCTCCCAGTAACTAGTATGTTAAAAGGTATTACTTTGCTGGGCTCGGTGGCTCAGCCTGTAATCCCACACTTTGAGAGGCTGAGGTGAGTGGATTGCCTGAGCCCGCAGGTTCGAGACCTGCCTGGGCAACTTGGCGAGACCTCATCTCTATAATAAATAAAAAAATTAGCCGGGCGCGGTAGCATATGCCTGTAGTTCCAGCTACTTGGAAGGCTGAGGCGGAAGGATTGCCGGAGCCCAGCAGGTCGAGGCTGTGGTGGCCAGGAGCAGCCGCTGCACTCCAGTCTGGGCAACAGAGTGAGACTCCAACTCAAAAAAAAAAAAAAAAAAAAAGGTATTACTGTTTTTCAGTTATTACAGCTTTATTGAGGTATAACTATTGAGGTACACTATATCTGTACAACTTTGAAGTATGCAATTTGAACCACAATAATATATCAACTCATATCTCTTCAGATGGTTATTTTAAAAACTTCAAAAAATTAAAAATAGAACTACCATATGATTCAGCAATCCCACTTCTGAGTATTAATCCAAAATAATTGAAATCAGGATTTCAAAGAGATACAGGAAGCCCCACATTCACTGTACCACTCTTAACAATAGCCAAGACATAGAAGTAATCTTAATGTCCATCAAGGTATGAATGATAATGTGTATATATTATATGTACATACATGCATATAATGAAATATTATTCAGCCTTGAAAAGGCAAAAGATCCTGTCATATGCAACACGGATGAGCTTTGAAGACATTATACCAGATGAAATGAGCCAGTCACAGGACAAATCCTGCATGATCCCGTGCAGTTCTGAGGTGTCTAAATGGTCCCACATAGAATCAGAGTTGAATGGTGGCAACACGGGTGAGGGGCGGGGGAACAGATAGTTGCAAATCAATGAGCAGAAAGTTTCAATTATGCAGGTTAAGTCTTGGAGAACTGCCACACAGCACTATGCCCTCAGTTAACACTACTTTGTACATTTACAGTTCTGTTCAGAGTGTGGCTTTCATGGTATACTCTTGTATTTTTTAAAAAACTGTGAACAAGGTTAATCCGGCTCTTACGAGGTTTTGAAGTCCATGAAGAACAAAGAAGTGGGACAGTTTACAACTTGAAAAATCCTAACACATAATACATGTAATAGATGACATGTGTGCACCTGTGACGCCATGTCTGCCATCACACATATAACAGATGGCATGTGTACACCTGAGGCCGTAACCGCCATCACACATGTAACAGATGGCATGTGTGCACCTGTGAGGCCATGACCGCCATCAAACATGTAACAGATGGTGTGTACCTGTGAAGCCATGACCACCATCACACATGTAATAGATGGCGTGTGTGCACATGACACCATGACTGCCATCACACCAACAACTTACTTGGGTCCCTGGTGGCTCTTTCCACCCACACTTTGCTGGACTCTGATCTCCTGAGGCCACTGCTGAACGGCTGTCACTATGCTTTACATTGATAGAAATGCAACCACATGTCTGTGCTTATTGTCTGGCTTCTTTCATCCCACACAGGTGATCTGAACTTCATCATTGCTGCATGCCAACAGATCATTTCTTTTTGCTGCTGAGTGGTGGCCATATCTACAATTTTCCCTTCCGTTTGTTGATGGACGTCTGGGTTCTCTCTACCAATCAAGCTGCTGTGAACATTCATGAAGGTCTTTGTGTGGATGTGTGCTTTTGTTCCTCTTGGGTAAACTGCTAAGCTTACTTCCAAACCAGTATGACCATGGTGGCGGCACTGCACACTCCTACTGTCAGTTGGTAAGCTGCTGTTGCTCTGCATCTTGGCCAACACTTGGTGAGTCGTAACTATTCTGACAAGTGTGTAGTGCATCTATTGTGCTATTGATTTGCATTTCCCTAGTGACTACCGATGGTTCATATCTTTTCATGGACTTACTGGCCATCCTCATCTTGTTTGGTGAAGTAGCTGTTAAAATCGCTGCCTATTTAAAAATATTAGTACTAGGTTGCTTTCGTTATTAAGCTATAAGGATTTTTATATATACTAGATACAAGTTCTTTGTTGCATATGTTTTGCATATATTTTCTCCCAGTCTGTGGCTGCTTTTCATTTCCTTCGCCAAGTTGCCCAGGCGGGTTTCGAACCCGCAGGCTCAGGCAGTCTACTCACCTCAGCTTCCCAAAGTGCTGGGATTACAGGCTGAGCCACCGAGCCCGGCTCCTTAGTGTTTTCTGAAGGAAAAAGTTTTGATTCTTTTTTTTTTTTGAGTTGGAGTCTCACTCTGTCACCCAGGCTGGAGTGCAGTGGCACACTCACTGTCACCCCAGCGTCGACCTGCTGGGCTCAGGCAATCCTTCCACCTCAGCCTTACAAGTAGCCAGAACTATAGGTGCACACTACCACGCCCGGCTAATTTTCTGATTTATTGTAGAGACGAGGTTTCGCCAAGTTGCCCAGGATAATCTCAAACCTCTGAGCTCAGGCAATCCTCTTGCCTCAGCCTCCCAAAGTGCTGGAATTACAGGCTTGAGCCACTGCACCCGGCTAAGATTTGATTCTTTAAGAATTTTATTATCTAGATGGGGGTCTCACTAGGTTGCCCAGGCAGGTCTCAAACTCCTGGCCTCAAGCAATCCTCCTGCCTCAGCCTCCCAAAGTGCTAGGATTACATGTGTGAGCCACCATACCTGGCCTGCAAAAAGTTTAAATATTTTGTTTTGTTTTGTTTTGTTTTTGAGTAGGAGTCTCACTCTGTCCCTCAGGTTAGAATGCAATGGCACAGTCATAGCTACTGCATCCTCGACCTCCTAGGCTCAGGTGATCCTTCCACCTCAGTCTTCCAAGTAGCTGGGACTACAGATACAGACCAACATGCCCAGCTAATTGTTTGATTTATTGTAGAGATAGTGTCTCCCCAAATTGTCCAGGCTGGTCTCGAACCCCTGGGCTCATGCAATCCTCTTCGCCTCCATCTCCCAAAGTGCTGTGGTTATGGGTGTGAGCCACTGCACCCAGTCCGTTTATATTTTGATAAATGCAACTTGCTAATTTTTAAAAATACTTCATGTTTTACGTGCTGTTCTTTAAAAAAATCTTTGCCTCCAATGTGTATGCTTAATTTAAAGTAATTTTTTTTTGCCAAATCCAAAGTTACTGAAATTTTCTGCTATGTGACTTTTACCAAATAAAAACCTAGTATCATCTTTCTAAAGTTTCCTTGAAGTACACGGTTTGGAAATTTTTTTTCTTAAAAAACATCTGAGGAAAAACATGGTTATATGACTTAATAGTATTGTGGTCCAGAAAACAAAATGCTAATTATAAAATTAACAACAATGTCTACAATCAGGTAGCCAATAAAATTTTTTTACGCTAAGTGTGCGTTACTTGAAAGATTACCCAAGTATAGAACACACTTCAGATTCTTCCAGTTAAATAATAAACAGGTTTTTATTTCTCTCATAACTTTTAAAATGTGAATGTCTGGTCATTCAGCCAGTCTTTACTTCCAGGTAACTTCTTCATTGGGTCTCAATTCTCTGTGTGGAAAGAAAAAAGGAAGGAACAGAAAAGGTATAAATAAAACTCTGGAGAAAAGATATAAGAGAAAGTCGGCAAAATATGAGTTTAGCATTTTATATCCTGATACTCTGCCCCATATGAAAAACTTGCATGAGCTTCTCATTTGCATTCTATTTGCTCATGATTTTAACCTCCTTATGTCTCTCTAACTTCTTCTAGATGAAAAACCTGTATTTCCTAATTGATGTGCACATGAGAGCTGCCATCCCATCAGTGAATTCAGGTAGGTTTTGACACCCTTGCCAGCTCTTTCCACTGTTCCTGAAGCCCAATTCATAAAACACCTGCCCTATCAAGTCCCTGGGGGAGCTGCTGGACCCTCCTGTCCCAGGGTTTCCTCCAGCCCACCTGTGCACCCACTACATGTGTCCTGTCCCCGTACTTCCCAGCTGTGCAACCACTGCAGGAGTCCTGTCCTGCTCTTCTCAGCTGTGCACCCACCACAGGTGTCCTGTCCCCATACTTCCCAGCTGTGCACCCACTGCAGGTGTCCTGTCTTGCACTTCCCAGCTGTGCACCCCCTGCAGATTTCCTGTCTTGTCCCTGCACTTCCCAGATGTGCACCCACTGCAGGTGTCCTGTCCTGTACTTCCCAGCTGTGCACACACTACAGGTGTCCTCTCCTGTCCCTGCACTTCCCAACTGTGCACTCACTTCATGTGTCCTGTCCTGTACTTCCCAGAGGTGCACCCATGGCAGGTGGTCTTCTTGTTATCTGCCACTCTCTGCTGCTAGAGAAGCCATTTCTAGACACGGCAGGACAGTTGCTATCACTTAGCCTCCAGGTCTAAGGTGCTCAAGTAGCATGGCTGAGAACACAGCACCAAGCCACTACTGCGACTACTTAACAGCTTAGGGAAGACAGAATAGGATTATACAACAAAAGCTATATATAGGGTAGGCTTCAGCCAGCCAATTTAAAACTGCTCCTATATTGAAATGCACTCTGAAAGTTACAAAATGAGATTATCCTAGATCTAAAATACCTGTTCACAAGCTGAAGACTGTTTACATTACAGAGTTACTCATACAGTTTCATACAAGGATTAAAAAACAAGACTACAAACAGTATCACTTGAATCTAAGTCCTTTGAGGTGGGGGACTACCCCTTCTGTTTATTTTTGGCACATATAATATGAAGAATAGTCCCCAAAGCTGACCAATTGCTGGTTTTAAAAAATGCAGACACTAACCTTTTAAACAACATACTCTTATTCCGGAAGGCTGTCAGTTTTTCATCATTCTTTCTGTCTAAATAACATCCAATGACGAATCCCATTGGGACAAGTATATGAACCCAGTGGTCACGCACAATCTGAAGCAAGTTCACCATGACTGCTTTAAAAAAAAAGGATTATCAGTAATGTAACTGTCTTTGAAATAAAGATATAGATGTTAAAAGCGGGCAACCCTCTTTCCAGTCTCTTCCCATGGCTACAGGAGCTTTTCTGTCTTCTCAATAACCTCCTGTTTTCTTAAAAAAATGATATTTTTTAATTTTTAATTTTTTTGTTTTAAAATTGTGGGGTACAGTTAAAGTTTAGGTATACAAATATTTATTGTGCAGGTACCCTTGTTGATGAGGTGTGCCTCCCCTTCCCCAGACAGATAAAAAAATAAATTACAAAATAAAAGCAAAATAAGCCTCTTTGGATTTGCTTAGCAACAGAATGTAATATAATAATTCAAATCTAATCAGTGAGGATTATATAGGTGCCAATGATTACTATAAACATTACACTGCACTAAAGTCTATTTGTTAGTTATTTCTAGCTTAACCAGTGGTTTGATACTGAGCAGAGAAATGGATTATATAAAAAGCACCGTCTTTGTATTAAGAACTGTTTTTCCTGCAGAGACAGGACCTCACTATGTTGCCCAGGCTGGAATACAATAGTTATTCACAAGCACTACAGCTTGGAAGTTCTGGGCTCAAGCGAACCTCCTGCCTCAGCCTCCCAAGTAGCTAGGACCAAAGGTGTGTGCTATTGAGCCCAGTTCTGATTTAGAACTTTTACATATATAATATATTTTTAGGACCTCTCATGATGCAAAAGCAAATTTAGTAATATTTTGCCAGAGTGAAATTCTTTAGGTAAAGCTATAATTACTGAAAACTAATGTTTGAAAATAAATTAAAACATACAAGTCAAGTGTGGTGGCTCACGCCTGTAATCTCAGCACTTTGGGAGGTAGGGGCGAGAGGACTGCCGGAGCTCAGGGGTTCGAGACTAGTCTGGGCAACTTGGCGAGACCTCATCTCTACAATAAATAAAAAATGAGTCGGGAGTGGTGGCACATGGCTGTGGTTCCAGCTACTTGGAAGCCTGAGGCAGAAGGACTGCCTGAGCCCAGAAGGTTGAGGCTGTAGTGTAGTGGCTGTGAGTATGTCACTGTACTCCAAGCCTGGGTGACAGAGTGAGACTCTGATTCAAAAAAAAAAAAAAAAAGGAAAAGAAAAGAAAGAAAGAAATTAAAACATATAAGAGAAATTTAAGAAACAATCATATTCATGAATGTTCCAGTAGATCTAAATATCAATTAGATGACCCTAAAAAGGCAAAGGGAGAAGGGAACATACTGCTGTGGAAAGATGACCAGGAGCCAGAGCCATCACATTTCTATATATGATGTGAAATAACTGTGATCCATTTTACAGATAAGCAAACGCCTAACCCAAAAAGCACAGAGCTGGAACTCGAATTCTGCTCGCTCCACTGCCCTGGCTCCTGTCATGTCACAGGGCTACCTAACAGACCCCTTTCTGATGGGTATTTATGGTACTTAAGAGCTTTTAAGTTCTAAGAGTTTTCAAACTGCAGAGACAGACAAGGAATAGAACTATAGGTTGAGTATCCCTTACCGCTTGGGGCCAGAGTGTTTCAGATTTTCTGGATTTGGGGATATTTATGTATGCAAAATGAGCTATGTAGGGGATGAGACCAAAGCCTAAACAAGGATTTACTTATGCTTCAATACACCCTACACACAGTCTGGGGGTGATATTATACGATATCTTAAATAAATTTGTGCATGAAACGACACATGAGGTCAGGTGTGGAATTTTCTACTGTGGCATCATGTTGGTGCTCAGAAATTTTCGAATATGATGGCTCACACCTGTAATCCCAGCACTTTGGAGGTTCAAGTGGGAGGACTGCTTAAGTCCAGGAATTTGAAACCAGCCTGGGCAACAAAAGACCTCATCTCTACAAAAAAAATTAGCCAGGTATGGTGGTGAGTGCCTGTAATCCCAGCTACTTGGGATACTGAGGTGGAAGGGTTGCCTGAGCCCAGGAGGTGGAGGCTTTGGGGAGCCAGGATCATGCCACTGCACTGCAACCTGGGTGACAGAGTGAGATCTGACTCAAAAAAAAATGTTTTGAAGTTTGGAGCGTTTTGGATTTTAGATTGGGGAAGCTGACCCTGCAGTAGTCATCATGTGGAAAAGAACAAATGGCACTAATTCAATGAAAACACAGTTGGAATGTTAGTTTTCTGTAAAAATATACATACAGATGAATTAAAAATACACCTGTGTGCACATGGATCTATGAGAATAACTCATGTATCTACATGAATAAATCATATACACTGGTGGAGACAACAACAGTACTCAGCACTAGGCTGGGCTAAACTCTGCAACTGAATCCCTGCCTCTGATTCTGGTTTGCATACCTAAACAATTCTTTCTTTCTTTCTTTCTTTCTTTTTTTTGAGTTGGAATCTCACTCTGTCGCCCAGACTGGAGTGCAGTAGCACGTTCCCGGCCACTGCAGCCTCAACCTGCTGGGCTCCAGTGATCCTTCTGCCTCAGTCTTCCAAGAAGCTGAAAGTACAGGCGCGCGCTACCACACCCGGCTAATTTTTTGATTTATTGTAGAGATGAGGTCTCGCCAAGTTGCCCAGGCAGGTCTTGAACCCGTAGGCTCAGGCAATCCACTCACTTCAGCCTCTCAAAGCGCAGGATTACAGGCTAAGCCACCGACCCCGGCTTTTATTTCTTAAACTTGAACTAGATACCCAGTCTCCAAAGTCACTGGGTTAGGAAATGGCCACCAAGTGAAAGGCACATGTTCATTATGTGCTGTGCCTGGTAAGTAACACCATACACAGCAGGATCCAGTATGAACATCACTGAACTGGAAATATACAGTAAATGATGAGCTATTTAATATGTAATTTACAATTTAGTCATCGATTCATTTTAAGTTCTAATCTATTGTCTATAGCTGGAGTTCTCAAACTTGACTGAGCAACACAATCACCTGGGGAGTTTTTTCATTAGGGACTCCTTAGCCTTACCTCCAGGTGAGGTGGAAGAACCCTGTCCCTTCCGATTTTGACACAAATGGTTCTTGGACATAAAAATGTAAGCACACCCAATCTTTACCTTCTAAGAAGATGGTGCCTGCGATAAGTGGCGTTCCTTGCATTTACATCCTAAGGTGCTTTTCATGATGCTGCTGAGGGCACACCAAGTCAGCTGCCTGCTTATTTACTTTATAAGCTTGAGCCTATCAGGTAGGGGATAACAAGGAATGCCTTAAATAAGACCATGCAACTCTGAAGTTACCAGTCTGCAAAACACCAGACAACATAGATCCCTGTTCAAGTTCAGTGAACTCAGGGGTCATCTATTCTGTCTTTGTTAGCATGCTCAAATTTCTTTTTAAAAATTTTTAAGTCAGGGTCTCACTCTGACACCCAGGCTGGAGTGCAAGTGGCATGATCATGGCTCACCACGGCCTCAACTTCCTGGGCTCAGGTGATCCTCCCACCTCTGCCTCTAGAGTAGCTGTGACTTCAGGCGTGCGCCACCACACCCGGCTGAAGTTTTGGAGAGTTGAGGTCTGGCTATGTTGCCCAGGCTGGGCTTGAATTTCTAGGCTCAAGCGATCCTCCTGTCTTGGCATCCCAAAGTGCTGGGATTACAGGCAAGGGCCACCGCAACTGGCAGGACCCTCAAATTTCTTAAGAGGGGTCCATTCTTCCCTCAGCATAGCTGTTAGATGGTTTTGTACTTAAATACCAACCAGAAAGTACTTGATTCCTAGCCCAAGGAGGTTTTGAGGTCATGGTCACCTGTAGGCTCTGAGCCCTTACTGTCAGCATTCTTTTTACGGGGCCAGAAACTAAAGAACTCCTTGTGTCTGGCCCTGCTCAGAGCAGGAGACAAGGCAAGTCCCAGGGTGCTTGCCACATAAAAGCTTGTACAGAGACTCCAGAAGTAAAGAAGAAAAGGATTCTGTACAGTTAGAAACCAGAGTTGGACTCAACAACCAAGAAGGAACCATGATGCCATCCCTAAGAGCTGAATGATAAGTCTTAGCTCTACAGGAATTTTGTGTCACAATTGTACAATCTATCTTTAACCCTTTGCACTCAGATGGTCTCTCTGAGGGGAAACTGAAAATCTAGCAAACCACTGGGATGTCCCTCTCAGGGGACATGAGATTGCTGATGATTATGAGGACAAACTTATGCCAGCACAATTTTTTCAAAAAGATATGTTTCCTTGAAGTTTTCCATTCAAATTGCATGAGAAGGCAAACAAAGAGATGGAATCTATACTGAAATATACATTTTTAAAAAGTCCTTCCACATTGTCTTTGAACATACCAAACAACAATAATATGGGAGGAAGAAAATGAGACTGCATTGTCTGCTCGAATAGAAAAACACCAGGTGGAAGACATCCAACAAATTACTATTGCACAACATGTATCAGTGAACCTGTAATGCATGTTGGTGACTGTTTCACATGCTACCACATGTTAGAAAAATAGAAGATATGAAATCTTGATTCTGCCATAAATAATTTCCTCAATGCTCAGAATTCCATTAAAGCCAAACCTAACAATAAAATAAGTGGTTCCAGCATTACACTATTTAATATGAAGTGATTAGCTTTTCACTATTTTGTAAAAAAAAGTGTGGTCGAGTTGCAGCAGGGGGTCTTGAGATGTCTCTTGAGTGCAAAAGGTTAATTGACTTTAGGGCAGAGCACTGCACGTAATTTGCCCTGCATGCTTTACTGTGAGTGGATGACCAGAGAGGACTAAGATTGATGGACACAAGAAGTCAGCTAGAACAGCTCCCAGGAGGATGGGCGGGAGGGGGGGCTGAAAAGAGCTTCACCTGAGAGGCCAAAGGCCGTGAGAACCTGGCTAGGCTCCAAGGATGCAAAGGGGAGCAAGGACCTGGCCAGGTTCCATGGAAGCAAGCCTAGGTTCTAGATGAGAGGAAATGTCAGCAGAAGGCGAAAAGGTCCAGAGGCTTTGGGGAGTAACGTTCCTATGGGTGCCATGAGAGCGTTGCACCTATCACTATTTAAG